TGAGTGCAGGTGGTCCTCTGAGTTCACGGCCTCAGCTGCTTTTCCGACGCTTCCTACGGGAACAGACGCCTCCACAGGCGAAGACGCAGGCCCCGCAGGTTGGACTGACGGCCTTTCTCCCACTCCGGGCTGACCTCCCTTCGTCAAGGGTGCAGTCGAGACACGACCTAGGGGGCTCTGCCCTCGAGGGGCTTTCCCTGTACGGTCGGCCGGGGGTTCCTGAGCTGGGATGGCCCCTAGGGGTTCAGTGCTTGTCGCAGACCGCGACGAGCGGCGGTAATCCCCTCCTACGCCGTTGCTAGTTGGCGATTCATCTTCCTTGGTTTCTTCGACTGGTAACGCGGCAAAGAGATTTGTATATTGATCGTACGGAGTACCTACGTTCGTAGTATAAGTCCGGCTAAAATTACATGAATGCGCACCAGTAGAAACTAAGTCCTTGGCCGACGTCGTCGAATCGCTTATTTCGACGCCGGCTCGTCTTTTGACGACTTTTTCTCCTCCTTTACCTCCTCGATCTTGGTATCCTTACCGTTCTCTTCCTTTACGGCCTCTTCGAGCAGTTGACGGAGTCGGGCGACGTTGGGTTTCTTGCGCGGTGGGAGTTTGACGGGAAGCCACTTGGACTTGTCGTCAGGGCACTTGTGCTTGGGGCTCCACCCCGTGTTCCCACACTTGAAGCACCGCTTGTCGGACCGCAACTTATCGATCTCCATCGGCTGTCCAGTTCCTCCATAGGTGGTTCCAGTGGCGTCCTTCTTATCGCCCCCGGAACCCGATCCGCTTCCCTTCGATTGATTGCCTCGACCCGAACCGCCTTGGTTCGAGGAGGACTTACTGCCCAGTCCTTGGGCCACTCCGTATCTGTAATTGGCGTCGATCCGTAGGACTCGCGCCTTCCATTGTGCATAGGTTGTGGGGCGCTCGTTGTCCCCATGCATAACCGTATTGCGCACCGTCGGCCTTATCGCCGCTTCCACTGCTTCAAACATCTGCTTCTCATCTCCGAACTCCTCGCATTTGTGGGCCAGCCGCTCGAACTTGGCAAAGAACTCGACTGCGGACTTGCAGTCCGCCTGTCGTACCTTCTTCCATTCCGTCTTCCATATCGTTAACTCCGCCACTTCGCGGAATTCGCGCTTGAGATCCTCGGAGAATTCCGCCCAAGTGGGGAATCTCCAGTGGCCTTGCGGATCTCGGTAGCGGTAGTACTGGTCGACCCACCACTGCTGCGCGTCCCCTCGTAGATACCCCTGAGCGAACGTGATACGATAGGGGTTGTGCCCCTGATCGTTCATGGAGTAGTACATGGGGAACACCGCGAAGTAAACTTCGCAGTGATGAAGGAAACGGGTGATGTCTGAGGAGACCCCAGTAAAGTACTCGGGCTGAGTTACTAACTTGGGCTTGACATCATTCCAAGGGTTATTAACGGCTCCCGGCGCGAGCTGCCAGGGAGGAATTGGATCGGGGGGGGATGGTACATGCGGCGGTACCGGCGGTTTGGGCGGTCGCGATACCGACCGTAAGTTTCGATTGTCCCCCGGGGGAGGATATCCCGCGGGATCCGGGTATGACGGCTGTTTTGGTGGCCACGGAGGCACCGTGGACCCCTTTCCTTTGTCCGTCGTGGAGGGCCCAGCGCCTGGGTCCTCCATGTCATCGTCGTCTCCTCCTGCCCCCCCGAAGAATCCCTCAGGGAAAAAGTCCGACGGATCCGCAGGATGGGGCATTGGCTGCGGCCTTCGGTATGGTTCGCATCCCCGCTGCGGCGCAGTGGGGTTTACCTGGTTCCAGACGATGGCCGCTCGGTGCCAGGTTTCTACTTCGAGGATGTTCTTCATAAGATATACATCCCCCATTCGTTTCGCATGGCGGTAGTCTCTCCCGCCTCGGAGAAGAGCCACTGCGGGTCTCTCTCCATGTCTTCCATCATGATCTCATAAAGTCCGTGCCATGGTAATAATTCGAAGATCCCGGGCCTAGGCACTGGCCCCTGAAGAAGGACCTGCTTCACCGCCGCCATTACCGTCGGCTCCAGAGCCTGGTTCGGGGGTCGGCTTGGCATCCTCTGCCTCCTTCCTCTCTCGGGCGAGTCGGTCGATTTCCTTGTTTCTCCGCCACCTTCCGATGTCGGAGTCCTCATTGGAGATCTCCTCCTGATAGACTCTCCAAGCTCGAGCTCGGGCCTCGAGGTCCGCTCCTGCCCTTCGGGCGTAGCCGGTGTAGCGAACGGCAGCGGCTCGTATTCTGTTGTCAATTTCGGCGGGAGTGGCGTCGGGCTCGACGGGTAAGTCCCAGAAGCCATCGGGTCCGTAGAGGGCGTCCTCTTCTGCACGTCGGATGCGTGCGTCATGCGCTCGGCCTCTGTCCATTCGGGCCTGAATCTCTGGGGACTCCCGGACATTTCGAGGGAGTCCGAGGGACTCGACGTACGTGTGATAAAGGAGTGGCCACGGGCGCTGGGCGAGAGGGACGGGATCGGCGAAGGCTCGCGAGGGTACTGACGCTTCCCAATCTGAGACTCCGGCGAGTCGCTCGGGCCGCGGTAACTGTTCCAAGTTCTTCATTGTCGAGGTCTGGGAACTCGCGCCAAAGCTCCCCACTCGTCTGCTCGTGCGGGGCGACGGGGGAAGGGAGCGTTGGGGCCTCGGTCCTTGTAGCGACCGGGTCGGACTCTCGTCGGGTCTGCTCTCTGGCCACAGGAGCCTCTTCCCCGTCGTCGGCGTAGACCCAACTGGTGTCGGGGTACCAGGCGACAGGGGGTCCTCTATCGGTTGGCCAGGACTCTGGAAGAGACTGTGGCTCATTTGTACGGGTGGAAGCCGCGGAGGCTCCGAGGCTAAGCTCCCCGGAGTCGCTGTCGAAATCATCTTCTTGGGCGACCCGGTATCTCCTACTTTCACTCTTCCAGACGGCATCTGTCCAGGTGTGTCCTGACCGGCCACTGAAACTGTCTCCGGTATAGGTTGCATCTTCTTCCGTGTTCGGGTAGAGGTCGTCGAGGAGGTCGTCGAGTCGGGTTCTTTCCCACTCGGTGAGTTCGTCCCCTTCGAACTCGGTATCAGGCGTTTCTTCGCCCGCGACCAGATGCCTGGTGTCTTGTCTTCGGACTCCTGCGTCGCCAGACTCGCTTTGGACTGGAGACTGGTCGAAGAGACCTGGTAAGGGCGAGTCTCCTCGGTCGAGGAGTACCCCCCGGGTATCGGTGATGTCGATGGAGTCTGCTGGTGCGCTGGAAGCGCTTCTGTAGGAGTCGGTGCTCGACTCTGAGGATCGCGAGCTGGGTCGCGACGAGGTGTATAGGGACCCTCCAGGTCCCCCGGAGGCGTTGGATTCGACATCTCCGATTGTCTGTTGAGACGCCGAGGGAATGTCGATTACCGGCGGTGGGTAAGCCGGGGCGCTGGGAATGTAATGGAATGGTAGTTGCGCGCGGATTTGTTTCCGCTGGCAGCAACGGCGAAGTTGGTATAAAGAAATGGAGCAGAAAAAGAATATAAAAGTCGCGAAGACGGCGAGAATGGACTCGGACCAGGGCATTCGTCCGGGAATCTATCCGTGGCGTAAGTCGACGATGGACCATGCAAGCTGGTAAACAGCGAGGATGGTCAGGACAATGAGAAGGGCGATAATCAAGCTAAGGTCGGTTTCGTAGTTGGAACCGCTCATTAACGAGATCTCGCAGGTTTCGTCGGGAGGAGTGCTCGTTACTATCAACAGCAAAACTGTTAGAATAGAGGCGAGCTGGAGAGCGAGCACGAAAGGCTTCGTGTTGGGATACGTGGTTCCTAAAAGAGCCGGGGGTATATCGCGTACAGGGCAGCTAACAGTCCTGCTAGTACCGCTGCGGATATTCCGAGTCCGATAAGAACGAGGGTGAAGAATATAGTGAAGACTACTCCGAGGAGTAGGTTGTCGTTTCGGATGGTTTCAACAATCAAACGAGTTACTAGCAACAGAAGGAGTAGCCGAGGGGGTATTAGCCACAGGGCTAGTGCGACGAGGTAGTGTATCGGATGAATGATGGTGAGTGCTTTTCCGTTGGTCCACTCGCTGTACGTTGACAAACACCGGGTTGTCCACACGAACGCAGGCGATGACCTCTCTGGTCAAGCGAGGTGATTTTTCTCGTAAAGAAGTTGGGCAGCGCTCTTTCTCGGAAGTGACGCTGAGCAACGTAGATCGAGCTTCGGCTAAATGTAAGCCACTAACTCTTATCGACTTAGATCGTGTTAGGATCGCTACTCGCACTTCGGTAGACGATACACCAACAGGTCAAAGGCGACGCAAGTCGATGGAGCACTTAGTCAGAAGTACGGAGTTCGATGTTAGGTAGAATAAACCTTAGCCGAAGCTGGGGTTTAGACCAGCTGAGGCTCTACTTAAATACACGTTGCGTAGGCTAAAGATAGTGCCGCAGCAATGTCCGATCGAAATCGCAGCATAGCGTAAGCGTGAATGCGTAAGAAAAGAGAAAAGAAAAAGAAAAAGAAAAGGAAACGAATAATCGTAACAAGATACCTTCCACTCACCTTGACGGAAAACCAGGACGTCATTAAGACAGAGAAGAAAATCAAGTAGACAGAGACGAAATATAATGGGTAAGAGATGAGAGAAAGAGAACCTAGTAAGCAAGGAACAGCACGAGAAGAGCTTGGATATGATTTGAAACCACAAAAGTGTGCACGCAATGGGGTATGATCCACAATGTCGCTGCTTTGAGGATCAATGAAGACTTCCAGACTTTCAACAAGCCCAAAGGACTTGAGAGCACCCGTCTGGTCTAGGATTGCAGTCTCGATAATACTTTCCTAGCAGAAAGATGGTTTGCCGAGCTTGGATCTCATCTAGACTTTGAGTATGAGTTCATATAGGTGGAAGTATATTCTAACATATGGTCACCTCCATCAGCGCATAGTTCTAAAGAAAGAAGGAACATCTTACCTAGGCGAATGGTTAAAGACAGCATTGTACCGGATGAATCTGTCAGACACCAGTCAGTGGAATCCAGAAAGCAGGTAGGCGAAAGATACCACAGTATTGTCATTGTTCTCGGCTTCTGCTCTCCAGTTTTCCGCTTTCTTTACAGCATAAGATAACATGGTGGTGCCAGTCCTAAGGCCTGAGGCGCTGCGCTGACTTTCCTTTGGTGCAACATCCAATAAATTCTACATTCCCCATAATAACTGATAGATACTATAAGCATACTAATAATTCGGATAGTATCTCAGCCTGTCAACATACGATAAATGCATTAACCACAATCGTACTGTCAAACAAAGTTCTGAAACCATCTCGCTGAGGTAGAGCATCTCTCGCAATAGCGCAAGGACCTCTTTATACAGTAACTCAAACCAGCCCCCACCTCCTGTAGACCTGAAAAATACCCTCAACAGGGGGAAATAGTGAGTTGGTTTGATCACCTTTTCAGTCGGGGGACAGATTTCGATCGAAAAAGTGTCAAATGTATAGCTTGTGATGGCTACAAAGTTGTAGAGGCTGCAAGCAGCAAATGATGAAACTCTCAGAGCACCAGAAGCCACCAACATGAGAGGGTCCCAGGATGAAATGATCTGATCATCAGCAGTCAGAAAGAAGCCATGAGTTATAAGGGTAGTGTAGTCGAGTATTCGAAGGAACCCTGCCTGAATGCACTGATGAGCATGCTACCGTTGACGGCCACATCACCATGAAGATTGGAGAATGACTGTAAACCCTGAAGGGATATCTGCTAAAAGACTACGGCTTTGTGCGGAAGGAAAATCTGAATGCACAAGAGAACGAGAGTGCGACTGTTGAAGAGAGTACTTTGCTGGGCAAGTCATCAGCGACTTCCAAATTAGGATTATCAGGAAGGACTCTGGTTTGAATCCCAGTCATGACCACCAGGCAAATACTACCGCCCCAGACGGGTGAAATGTCCTATATAAATCACAATCAGTAAAGGCAGAAGTGAGCGAGAACTAGAGGTGCACTGACCATCACATTATGAAGCCATCACAGTTAGACTCATCAAGAACATGCATTGGTTATATTCCTGTATACAATATGCATACCTCAGCTCCAGTTAGCCGGTGGAAGGGAGAGACGTACTTCGGAAATGCACACCTGCAGAGCAGCTGAAACGAATCCTGGCCTGCCATCTCCCACTGGCACATATGGCGGCGGTACATAATATGAGAAAAGACCGTATGGAGCGACTCGAACGCTGACGGTCATGAGTGACTACTGTCGAGAGAGAACGGTGCCGCACTACAAATGGAATAAAATTAGCCCGAGGTGTATTTTTTCCTTCAGGAATAAGAGCGACACATGACAGTACTGCATGGCCAGGGCTTTGCCACTCCCTTGAGTATCAATTAGACATCGCCTCGACGACCTTCATAGCACGACCTCAACGACGACAAAGGGAAGGAGGAAGGGATTTGAAGACTGACAAGATCGAGAAATCATTAGAAGGACAATCCTGCTATCACAGGGCATGGGAGCACACCTCGAAACTGTCGACATCCCTCTCTTACAGTCCATTCCAGCCTCCAAATCCTCCAATATACAGGAATAAATTCACTGCAGTTTGTTTCAATGTGAGCAAGAGCCTCAAGATGGGACACTACCACTTGCCTGCATTATTTCCTTTGAGAATTTGGCATAATTACTTACACAGACAAGTGCAGATGAAGCGAGTGCTGCTGAATGTGGATGCCGATGACAGGAGAAGCGAACCATGGGAACGACTTCTCTCAGCTACATTCGTTGCCCAAAATCTTTGACTCCGCTAAATCCGCGGCTCGGGGAGATAAGAAATTTCATGCCTAATCTGGTTCACCTCGTCACTTTCTTACGCCTTTTTCCCCTTGCCTGATATCCGTCACCGTCGACGGTCGAGCGTTCGAGCGTGGTCCCTTGCAGCGTGAACAGACAGTAAGTGCACCTTCAAGTTTTCACCCAATTTAATCAATATTTATATTCTACATAGCATGGCGAGGTGAAGAAGCACCTGTTTACTTCGACCCACCTCGGCGTTCATGTCTAAATTCAGTGATCATCCGCTGAAGCTTCCTTGTCATCTGACACCACTCCTTGTGTGTGGAAGGGTCCCCTTTGGTCACCAATCAAACACCAGCATGGAATGGAAGCCGAACAATAACCAAGAATGGAAGAAGATGACACTGGCCATCCTTATTACATTGCCAGGAACCACGGCTTCTGCTGTATCAGGTATGTATATCCCAACTGTGCACTGTCACTTGGCCTTGGGCTTGCTCTTTCTCCCGCTGATGTCTGGAATGTCTTCAGGAATCAAATTCCATCTTCCAACTTGCACTTTCCACCCTCATTAGCACCATGCATCAATGTACTCTTCTATCCTTCTTATCCTTGATTTAGGGATCTGTTCATTGCGGAGCCTTATTTTATATGTCCAAGTCAATTGGCAGAAAGACGCTCTTTGGTGTAGGGCTATTGCACAAACTAGTGGGCAAGCGGGTAAAATAACCCTTATAATGACCCCCTGCCGGTATGGTGGTCGGGCACTTCTATGCTAGCGATATGATAAGATTTCTGCAATTTGAAATATGAGCTTAAATCTTTTGTAGCACTCGATAGCACGAGTCCAGCGGGATAGAACACTACACGAAGCGGGGATATGACCCATCAGGAAATATGCTATTTACTGTGGAGGACGGCACTGAGGATGGTGGACAGTGACTCGGATGCATCTACTGAGTGCATGCAACTTGGCTACCAGTCAGTTGACCTATCTCTTCCTATACGACCTGGTACTAAACGGAGTTCAGATCAGCTGCTGAGCCCTTGAGATGGTTTCTCACCATGAATGCAACTTCTACTGGTCTATTATTCTATGGCAGCAGCAACCCTTGTCTATTGACTATCTCATCTGTGACATATACTAGTAATATACAAAGTTCCCATGCAGTCTCCTTATTCTGTAAGATTGCTCCCTTTGTTCTTCCATCCATTTAAAGCAGGACCGGGGGGTTACCACCACACACCTAGTCTTGTCCGACCATGTCACTTACCCATGACGATGCTTTAACCGGCCCTCCTCCTTGCTACATATACCATGCAGAGGAAAGTAGCAGCACTCATCATCCATTCGTGATCGTTATCCATGGCAATGCCAATGTCATCATCCCCCGCTATGTCTTTGAATCCCACAGGGTGAGCATTCTCATCATTCAGCCCCTTGCTCTGATGCTCATTTCACCAGCTTGTCTTTGATTCCTTTGAGGACTATATTGATCAGATCTTACAAGGTCCAACTTGGATGACAAAGGACCTCAGCAGGCATGGTGGCACTGACATAGTCGTTCCTCGAGAATACTCACAAGACTTGATACCCTTTGTGGATAGCATAAGGCTTGGACATGACTCGATCAAGGAGTACACCTACATCGCCACCTATTACTATCCAGTGGCTGTCATTGTGCTCATCTTTCTCTTGGTCACCAATGTTCTCCTTGCATATGTCTCCATTCTATTTGAACCCCTTCCGTTGTCTGTTAACCTACCTTTCTAGATGCGTCTATGCAAGGGAATACGACACACTGTCCACACCAATTGTGACTTTTGTTCAATACGCAGGTCGATCTTGCTTTGGTGCCTTTGATGCATTGAAGGTTTTGTTCGTTGGTCCCTTATGCTTCTACTTTCCTTTCGTTCTGACGTCTTGCTTGAGGTCTCCTGGTTATGACGATGACTTCTTCATCCAACCGCTTGACTTCCTCCCCTATTCTTGCACCCTTTGATCACATTGTTCTTTTACTGCTGTAGCTACATCTCGTCATCTGCATTTCTTATCCTAATTACCTTCCATAATGTTGGTTCCTTTGCGTCCTTGCTCCCTTATGCCGTGTTGCTAGCCAGAGTTTGATGACTCTGATGGGTAGGCAAATTAGATAAAGCCGTAGGAACATTATAACCATATGCTAGACAACGGGCTTACCGCTAAGTTGAGTTTCAGAGCGAAAGACTTGGAATCCTAAGTTCACATGCCGATACCACTCATTTGGGACCCTCGCTTCTGTGGATCTCGTTCCTGTAGAGTTTTGGGTATTTGGTCCTCCATTTCATCTTTCATGTCCTGGTACCCTTACTAGCACTTTGCTGCAGGATATACATTGCGGCCTGGTAAAAAGGTGCACGAAGCTGTAGTCTTTTAGCAGATATCCCTTCAGGGTTTACAGTCATTCTCCAATCTTCATGGTGATGTGGCCGTCAACGGTAGCATGCTCATCAGTGCATTCAGGCAGGGTTCCTTCGAATACTCGACTACACTACCCTTATAACTCATGGCTTCTTTCTGACTGCTGATGATCAGATCATTTCATCCTGGGACCCTCTCATGTTGGTGGCTTCTGGTGCTCTGAGAGTTTCATCATTTGCTGCTTGCAGCCTCTACAACTTTGTAGCCATCACAAGCTATACATTTGACACTTTTTCGATCGAAATCTGTCCCCCGACTGAAAAGGTGATCAAACCAACTCACTATTTCCCCCTGTTGAGGGTATTTTTCAGGTCTACAGGAGGTGGGGGCTGGTTTGAGTTACTGTATAAAGAGGTCCTTGCGCTATTGCGAGAGATGCTCTACCTCAGCGAGATGGTTTCAGAACTTTGTTTGACAGTACGATTGTGGTTAATGCATTTATCGTATGTTGACAGGCTGAGATACTATCCGAATTATTAGTATGCTTATAGTATCTATCAGTTATTATGGGGAATGTAGAATTTATTGGATGTTGCACCAAAGGAAAGTCAGCGCAGCGCCTCAGGCCTTAGGACTGGCACCACCATGTTATCTTATGCTGTAAAGAAAGCGGAAAACTGGAGAGCAGAAGCCGAGAACAATGACAATACTGTGGTATCTTTCGCCTACCTGCTTTCTGGATTCCACTGACTGGTGTCTGACAGATTCATCCGGTACAATGCTGTCTTTAACCATTCGCCTAGGTAAGATGTTCCTTCTTTCTTTAGAACTATGCGCTGATGGAGGTGACCATATGTTAGAATATACTTCCACCTATATGAACTCATACTCAAAGTCTAGATGAGATCCAAGCTCGGCAAACCATCTTTCTGCTAGGAAAGTATTATCGAGACTGCAATCCTAGACCAGACGGGTGCTCTCAAGTCCTTTGGGCTTGTTGAAAGTCTGGAAGTCTTCATTGATCCTCAAAGCAGCGACATTGTGGATCATACCCCATTGCGTGCACACTTTTGTGGTTTCAAATCATATCCAAGCTCTTCTCGTGCTGTTCCTTGCTTACTAGGTTCTCTTTCTCTCATCTCTTACCCATTATATTTCGTCTCTGTCTACTTGATTTTCTTCTCTGTCTTAATGACGTCCTGGTTTTCCGTCAAGGTGAGTGGAAGGTATCTGTCCTTCTTCCGAGCTCAAGACGTGCCGTTCTTCAGGGTGTGAAGTCAGTCGCGGAACTTGTGCTTTCTGCGATCATTTGTGTGTGTATTTCCTCATGTTTCTTGAGTCTCTTATCTTTGTACTCTAGATATCTTCGTCCCAAAGCCCACATTCTATGTATGTCGGTCGATTGGTAGGCAGCCGTTCTTCGAGGAAGGCAAGATAAAGCAAAAGCTTCGGGGCAAGCATGGTAAAGCGATACTCGAGGAAGCTCTTCACCGTCACAGCGTCCGTATCTGGTGGGCGGGAACATGCACCCTCACAATTTCATAAGTCGCCGAGAGTTTATAGTTCTATCTTAATGTTTGGCAGCACGGGTTGGCATTTGTCGCGAAACCTTGGTGGAATCAAGCATTACACAATCAGAGGGTTCAACGTGGCCGGAAGTATGATTTTTACGGCAGAGCTAGCAAACAGCTTGGTGCATAGTGAGGCGTGGGTCTATAGGGCAAATGAAACGAAGGAGACCTTCAACGTCAATGACTATGAAAGGGTTGTAAGCCAGTTTCGTTATGCATATCCGAGTCAGACTAATAAGTGGCTGGCACATTCAGATTTATTAGCTAGCTACCAGCATGTCCTGGAATTATCTTGAAAGCCTGCGGAAATTGTACATCTTCATCATTTGGTTCCCTTGTCGATCAGCTAATATACGAGAAAGATAGACCAGGATGTGACATATGTTCGCCCTCTGATCCACGCCTCTTCATGAAGCCTGTGGCCTGAAATAATGTAAGACACTTGCGTATCTTTAAAACTCGATCCCTGACACCAGCACCATCAGATCCCTCCTGGATGCATCTACAAAGCAGTGTTTGGGAGTGCGGAAGCCTTCTGAAGCAAACAATGCATCGCTAATCAGCTGGTCAAACGATTCTAACAGTGTTTAATTTATTGCTCACTGTCTCGTTTACGTCGAAACTCCCAACAGCACTCGGGTTTCTCTCTGATGCAATCTTGAGCCATTATTTTTATGTGTCACCTCCACTTAACCCACTGACACCGTTTCTAGATTGTACCCTCTGCCCTAACACTTCTATGCCAAACGTCGACGACTTCAGTTCAGCTTCCTTACCAGCAACATGGATTATCAGCTTTTGTCGCTCCTTATCCAGTGCAACTGTGATTGATGTAGCTCCTAGACATTTGAGACTACGTGTTGACATCCCATTCTCTACACATATATACCTGATATTTATCTTCAAAGATATTCCATTCCCACCAGGTCACTTAGTCTTTCTGCAGACATGTATTTTTGTGAAGACCAAAGACGCCTTTCGGTGAGACTAACCCCAGGTTGCAGGGGTATCACCCTTGCCGCTGGTCCAGGACTGTGAGCATTAGTCACAAGGACTGGGTGGTGACTCAAGAGTAAGTGAAAGCTGGAGCGAGCCCCCTGCATACAAGAGGAGAGTCATGGGGAAAGTCGCTGAGAGGAACTGCGAGTCATTATCTTCTGGTACTGCCGCTAGAGAGGGACAGCGTGGCAGAGAATAAGAAGACACGTCAATAGGAAGTCAGATCTTGGTGGCTGCCGTGAACGGTAGAGAGTGGTGGCAGTTTGGAGTTGAGTCAGAGTAGTGTCGAGTCTGGCAGGTCACTGGCAGGCTCTAGTCGTGCCACTAGCAGGCTCCAATCGTGTCACTGGCAGAGCACTGGCAGGTGTTTGGCGTGTCACTAGCGGGTACCTGGCGGGTCACTGGCAGATCACCCAGGATTTGGGACCCAAATCCTGGAACAAATCCTCTTTGTATTTGTGCCCATTTTTGGTATGGTATTTACATCCGTATTTGTTCTAAAAATACCATTTGAAATACGCTCATTTTTGGGACCAGATTTATGCTTCTCAATTTGGGACCTAAATCCCTGAGCCAAATCCATAGGTTTTCAGAGTACAAATCCACCTGACCAAATCCGCACCAAAATACTGCGTGTTTTTTAATTCCTATTTGAGATACAAATCTGGAGCCAAAACCGAAACCAAATACCAATTCAAAACTTCCCAGGTTTTGATGCTGGTTTTGGTGCCAGGGATTTACCTCCCAAATCTGGGGCCAAATCCTTTAAAGTATTTGACCCTCCCAAAATACCAATGCATCGCAGCAGTGATGTAAAAGTCTGACAACTGCACAACATTTGTAATTCTAATTTCCTGTAGCATAAGTAGCCAGCTACAGTAGGTAGTAGCCAAGTTTTGAACCCCAGTTATGGTGCATGCATGAAAGGTAGTGCTGTGGCAAAGGATCAGTTTGTGACTTCAAGCTTTGCATAGAAAGAACAAGCTCACTCAGAGAAATATGAGATACATTTTGGATAAGACTTTTATCAACTTAATCAGAGTGAATATAAATCAATGATACTGTTTCTGTTCTGTTTAAGTGTTGATAAGTCTGCTCAAAGAATGTTTTGAAGTGGAAATCTAAGTTCTATTCTATCTGTCTGTTTCAGTCTGCATCAGTTCTGTTTCAAAGTTTCCATCTTCTGGATCTGTTTTTAAGCACTTCTAAAGTGTTCTTGAATTGAGATATTCTGCTTAAGTCAGTTTGAGAGCATCTACACACAGTCGTGTAGCAAGCAGGCTAAGTCAGTGCTTGCCCATATTGTTCAAATAGTGAGCTCACTAGAGTTACAATTTGTGTCATCTCTGTTTCTGTTAGAATCAGTGTCCCTCATATATAATAACTTAAATTTGCCTTGAAGATTATGTCATGCCAATGAACTCTCTTTCTGTAAAAGTTTCTAGACTTAGGAATTCATTTGAGAAAACTTAGTTCACTAAAAGCATTGAGAATGCAAAGAAACTCTACTTAATATTTATCAAAGTACTAGTAGGTTGTATTAAAAATAATTGCTCTCTCTAGAACTTACAAGAGTTATTGTATTTTGTGTAGTTTATATGCGTGTGTGTGTGGGTTTTGAGGTTTGTCTCTTAGTCTGCCCACTATTCCACAGATGCTCACAGCCAGCCTCTTTAGTGAATTTATTTATTAGAAGTGTGCTATTTTCTGACTCACTTGTTGCTTAGGGGATGTGTGCTATTTTTAGTATGAATCATTGCAAGCAACCACACTCACCAGACTCACTGTCAGGATTGATAAGTATTATTCAGCTATGTTTCTTTTCTCTACACAAAATTTTTAATAGTTTCTTTTACAAGTTATAAAAGTCTGTATATAGAGCAGGACATCCTTGTGTGTTTGCCTTCAAAGGTTTCCTGTCACTTGGTAATCTACATCCTTATCCAACATACCTCTCAGATGATCTCCCCGAGTTCATTAAGGGTAGTGTTGGATCAATAAATGCAGATGGAGATCTAGATCCTGATCACAGAAAAGGTATTAACACTGACAAGAATGGTTTGCTTTACTACATTGATATGGAAGGTGATAAAATAGATGCAAATAAAGATTCCACTATGAAGACCATCAAAAATTAATTTTATTATATTCTTTTTACTTCATACATCCTTTCATTAACTTTTCTTTTTTCATTCAAAGATATTACACTCATTTATTTCTTACTTTACCTATAGTGCTTAACTTTGTTGGATAGGAGAGCATATGTAATGAGCTGGCCTTTGGCCCAGTTCTCCCCTTTTATTCCTTCCTCTCATTGTCACTCCACATGCTCCACTATTCTCAACATGTTTGATAGTATCTATTGAATATTAGTTAGTAATATATAAAAAGCTACATATCACTGTAGTAGCTTAGGTTTTTTTTGCAATAATCAGCCTTTACACCTGTCACATGTTGTGTTAGGCTTCTTTGTGAGAGTACATGACTTTTGCCACCCTCTCACAGGTGCAGGCAAACTTGATTATACAGAAATTGCAAAAGTAGTTGCAAATATTGCTCTTCCAATTCTAAAGCTGGCTCAGACCTTTTAATTTTAGTCTCTTTTCCTTAGTGAGCTCACTAAATTCATGCCAAGGGATGTTTATCATAAGTCTATAGGCTTTTGGCCTAATAATCAACAGGCCTAAGCATCTAGAACTGTCAATTTTATCATGTTTCTAAAGACTTCTTTCTTGGATCCACAGAGACTTCTTATAGACATGACAACAAATGAGTCTTTGAAATAATGGTATTCAGGCTTACAGGTTTCAGCCAAATCTCACTGCTAAAGGTTGTGCCTCTCATATATATCATCTTGTGTAAGAAATTCTCTGGATTTTCAGGTATAATGCATCATAGTTAATGAGCTTACTACATATTATCAATATCAATGCAATTTTCATAGTTTCATTTAACTCCCACAAATGCTAATATAAGTTACAGCATACAGCATTAGAGTTTAGAGTTTGGCCTTCTCATCAAGCATGCCCATCAGATACAGTGCTATGACTAAGTACTGTTTAATGTTCTGCTGCTTCTCATGCTATAAGTCAGTTTCATGTCAGTGCATCATGCAATATTAATGTTGATGTGTAATTTTAGTCCACTTGCCCACTATATTTCAGTATGCATATAAAATGAATCAGATTGCAAAATTACACATGTAAACAGGTTGTAGACACAACATTGGATAATCTTTCCACTTCATGAGATACTCAGTGATTTCCTTGTGCCTTTATCTGCAACCAACAGTACAAGTGTGATCATCTAAAATTTTCTCAACCTTGTATTCTTTTTGCCCATCAACAGGATTGGGTTTGGGCAGTGGTAGTTGCTGCTAATTGGGAAACTTGGGTGAATAGCATAGCTTCAAAGAGTCCAACTTGTCTGCTATTAAGCTGTTTCATGCATTGCAGAAGATGTAGATTGGTAGCATCAAGCCAAACCTTATCACTGAGAAAGTACTTGATGGCTTCTTATCTGTACTTATTGTAGTTCTTCTTCATGGTTTCAGCAGCTTGTTCTAAGGCATATTTTGCTTGTTCATAGATGCATTTTATGTTGTCAATGAATGTAGTGACTGTAAGCACCTTTTTGTGCTTAACTATTATCAGAGCAACCAGGATTAAAAGTGCAGATAAAGTCAAGAAAGTGTTTAGAAGGCTTGATTAATATAGGTTATGTTATATAACATATGCATCTTGTGATCAGGTATGTTTGCCTAGTGAGTTACAAAAGAGCAATGCATGTTTGCTTAAAAAAAGACAATCAAGTATAGAATATTATGAAAGCTAGCAATTTAAATATCTTTATGTATCTTTTAGTACTTTTTTTCTCTTAGTAAACTTTTACTCAGCAAAACTCAGGCTAACTGGACACCACATCAGCTTGTATAGTCACAGGCTGTTCAACATTCCACAGCTTGATTATTCTTAAGCCTAAGTTGTGTTACTTCTAGCCTGACATAGATCTAAATTTTAAGATTACAGAGTATAGGCAGAAAAGAAGATATTCTATTCATAGTTGAGCTATCTTATATACTAACTAATTACTGGTACATGAGTCATAATGAATACCAGCTAATTTATACATAGTTCATAGTAGTCATCCTATATCATACATAAGTTTTAAGTCATGTATGCTAAGAATACAAGGTTCTGAACTGAGTTACCATTCTAAATATAATGCTGTAAATAAGTTTTTAATAGTCTTTTTACAAGAACTTTTGACAATGTTGAAGAATTTTCATACACTGTGCAACTCCAAGAGAATCACCAATAGTCTGAAACATTTGCATGGCTTTCTCTAGCTTGACAGTTGCTTCTGGATATTGATGCATCATCCACAAGATATCTCCTAAGCTTTGCAAACATTGTGCTGCTCCAAGAGAATCACCAATAGTCTCAAACATTTGCATGGCTTTCTCTAGCTTGACAGTTGCTTCTGGATATTGATTCATCATCCGCAAGATATCTCCCAAGCTTTGCAAACACTGTGCTGCTCCAAGAGAATCATCAATAGTCTGAAACATTTGCATGGCTTTCTCTAGCTTGACAGTTGCTTCTGGATATTGATCCATCATCTGCAAGATATTTCCCAAGCTTTGCAAACACTGTGCTACTCCAAGAGAACTACCAATTGTCTCAAATATTTGCTTTGCTTCATCTATTTTCTCTTGTGCTGCTTGTTGTTGATTAAATATACATAATTTTTTGCCTAATAATAATATTGCTTCAGCATACAAACATAGCATATTTAGATCTTTTGTTATAGCTATAACTTTTTTTAATAAAATATCTGATCCTGTAGTCAAATATTGAAAGTAGCAAAAATTATATATTATTTTTAGTTTTTTTTCATCATTACAACTATTCAAAATCTCAACAAATATCCATTCAAAATTGTTTAAATGAGCTAAACCAAACTTTGTGTTTTCTTGTGAAATCAAGGATTTCAATTGTTTATCTTTAGTTTCATTTAAATAAAAAGTGCAAAACTGCTGTTTTATATGTATATCTGGCTGCTGAAAATATGCCTTCAAATATGCCTGAATTGGTTGCAATATTTTCAATCCACCTTTACTATCTTCATATATAATTCCAGATTGTAATAAATTTGACACAATTCCAGTTCTTTCTGAAAGATTTGGTAGCATTTTGCTCAATATTTTTGACCATGTAGGAATACCATCAGGGAGATAGCATATTACACTCAACAACTTGAAAATGTTTGGTTTTGAAAGCAATGATGACTGAAGAGTTATTTTGATTGAAATATTAACACTGGTTAACCGAGATTGAGCTCCTGGTTTTTCTAATAATAAGGTTCTTTCCTTATCCCAGCTCTCTAGAAGCACTTCTGGATGAATGATCTTGGCCTGGTGAGCCATTAACATAAGAGCTAATGGCCATCCATCTAGTTTTTCAAGTAGCTTTGTAACAATTTTCATATCACCATTATATTTTGAAATAGTAATAAACACATCTGATGATGGAGATTCAGCTAATGGTGATAGACCATTATGTGGTAGTTCTAGCCAATCAATATTATCTATTGGAGGAACACTTCCTCTCATAGTAATCATCAGAGTAATATGTATTATAGCATTCAACTGCTCTAAAAATCTTTGAACACTTTGATTATTACTTTTATCCCAAACAGTCTCAAAATTGTCAAAAAATAGAACTACTGGCTTTGATATAGCATGTAGCTGTTTGATAGGATCACTGGTAGTTTGCAACCTCATCAATCTCATTATAGCATGTATTAATATCTCAACAGTAGACTCAACACTGCAGACTTCATCACAAGGAATGAAGTATCTGCATTCTCTATATTTGCTTTTTACAGCTGCATCATCTAGCAATTTCAATGCTAATGATGTTTTTCCCATACCTCCGAATCCCATAATAATAATGGAATGAGGAGAATCAGCAAGAAGATTAGCTGTGCCTTTTTGGACTAAATCATCTCGACTCTTGAATACAAGAGGTGGTGGTGATGGAATAGCAGAGAGCATAGTGCTACTAATCAGTGGACTAATATGAGACCTATTATACCTTAGAAAATATACAGAGACATACTTGATAGGTTGAGTTATTCTTGAAGAACTTATCTATGAGAATATTAGTATGCATCAATGCAATAATCAACAAGATTTACCAGATGATCTTGAATATTAGTTACTATTGCCTTCACCTCTCCAACTTGTCTGATACCTGAAAGCACAGCAGTTGTCTAGAAAAGGATTAACATTCTTCTAACATATTATAGCAGAAAAGAACACACAAGAAGCTTATCTCGAGCTTCCTTGACATATTCCTTGTGTTGATTAACACGATCTAAGATAGTCTTGCTCTGAAATGACTTCTTTATCTTTGCTTGAAACCCAGTCTTTCCATAGACCTTGTTCAAATCATCTTTCAAAACCTTGAGCTGACTGAACAGCAGACATCAATCCCTGACTCTTAATGAGATCAAAGAGAGGCACACCTGATGAATTCATCCCCCATTTGCTGTAAGCGTGCCAGAGGGTGGGTTGAAGCATCTGTCAAGGATTGACCATCTTGAAGGAGTTTGGTCTCCTCAGAAACATAGCGGAGCATCTCATCAAGGTACTTGATAGTATCCTTGAGATCATTCTGTGCTTTCTTATTATTCTAATAACAGGTGGTCCCTTTCAGTATGTAATATTTCCCAAGAGTCATAGATTCACACCTGAACCAGTTCCAGGATCGGGAGAGCAATATTCGCGATCGCCTTTGCGATGCCCGTGCGATCAATTTCGCCTGCACCAGCAAGTAGCTTGAAAGTGACACTGGCATTCGACATCCAATCGGTATCATCCGGAGCGAGATTCGGAGGTGGGAGAATTGCAGATCGACCAGGTGCCGCTGCACTTGGAGACTGAGTAAAAAGTTGAGAAGGAGCTTGCATTCTTTGAATTGCGCTGTACGGTCGATGGTGAGAGTACGAGTGGAAGGAACACGTTGCGGTGATATGTATCTGATGGGGGCGATGTGAGTTTCCCCACGCCTCATAGCTTTCCACCGCCACCATCATCTATCTGGCACTGCATGAAGCTGTTTCACTGCCGTGTGCTGTCTTGCTCTTTTTTTTCGATGAAGGCGCTACTTGTTTTGGTGGATCCGTAGACCAATGATTGGCAGGAGTTTAAAAACCGAGGCGATGGCAAGGGTGGTTGAACGTAGCAACTCTGTCGGGCAATTTCTTACCGTGAAGGGTGGCATGCCATCGCGCGTCCTTCTTTCTTTCTTGTTTTCTCTGCGTTGCGTTCTCATTATGTGGCAGAATCGCTCCTGCAATGACTGCAACCTCATTTTCCAAGTCCTCGCTCCTGAAGCATTTATGGCTTGGCTCTACCTCTTACTCCTTCCATCGACAACAGGCAATATATGCACCTCTCTAACGACTATGCCTGGCCCTCGAAGAGGCCAAGGGGTCAGAAGATCATCAGTAGCGGGGACGGATGGCGTTGTTTTCCTTTTGTTGGACGCCCCGTGCTCAAGCCACAAATCTCTGAACTCGCTCTAGCTCGGTCCATCAGCCGCTCCCAGCTGCTTGCATCGTCCTCTATCGCTGGGTTTCCTATATCGACAACCATCACGACAAGCCTTGGATGAGCCCATGGCACACAGCCCGCGACATCCAGCAAAGCTCAGTTGAAGAGAAAAGGCGCATTGGTATGGGGGGGTCGAGAGATAGCGGCTTTCCTTTCGGATGTCGCACAATGACGAGATGGAGATGATTGTCGGGATATCTCTTCCCACGTCGTGGTGCTGCAGCCCATGTAAACTTTTCATCTTACCTCGTTGATTTCCTATTGATTACCAACCGAATAGGCGTATTCCTATGGTACCTGTGTTCATAAGTATGAGCCCCACCTCCACCGTGACCAAATAATGATGCATAAATCCCCGCCCTTCGAGTATGTCCTTTGCATATCATTCGTTGCCAGTCGATGACCTCAGGTGACGAGATTTAGCTCGCCGGGCTCGTGTCACGTATAACTATCGACTACCTATCAAAGGCGTTCTCTGAACAGGTCATCTGGAGTTCGAATGGAACAGCGTCAACACGATGAAAGGACCCTGCGACCAGGCATCCATGTATTCGGCTTAGACAATCCCAACAATCACCTCATCTCTCACATCCCCGACGTTTTGAAGGGATGGCGAGCTTCTATCCAGTGAAGGATGCGCCGTGCAACGAAATGAATTTTACAGTACGTGTTTTATCGTTTTGGCTCCTACGTCTATATCTGACGTGTCGTTTCATTAAGCTCAGCACACGTAGAAAATTTGTTGGGGGGAGCCCCACATCTTCCTTTATACACGACCTGCAGGCTCAAGCATACCCTGTCAGCCTGCCAACCTCGGAACATATTTTCATCATCAAGGACCTGACTCTGTTCACTAGCTTCAACTTTCTAATCTCTCCTTGACACCCATCCCTCCGAATGAGCGGACACTGCCACTTTTGTGATTAGATCATGCTATTCGCATTGTAGTCGTCGAGATATGTCGGAAACTCTGCATAAGCATTATTACATCAACTCTCCTCTAGTATGCACTTATGCCACATTATAAAGTGTTAGGAAGGTCTGAGTGCCTCGATTTTTGGTCAGAATTATCTTATGGACGTGCACATTCAGCTGTAACCAAATTTGCCTTCCTAGGCCTTCTTGTTCAGATGCATTTTTTAGTGGAATATAATATCACGTGACGCATTATTGACCTTATTAGACATTACTTGCCGAGAGTCGGCATTATAATCAATTTTTTGCCCAAATAAGGTATTTGCAGAATCTCCGACATATGGGGATCACCGTCTGCGTCAAGGGCATACTCCAACGTGGTCGAAGCAGGGAAAAGAAGTTATGGCCCAGGGATTTGATAGATAGGGCTTCTGAGGTTGGCATACGTGGCTCAGTCTCAGTCGATTACTGCTCGTTTCCACAGTATACTGCCATCATGAGGTGCATGCTTCGTGCAGATGGGGAAGACGGCACTCTCGTCAGCCTGCATGCTCCCATGACACTCCGCCTTCGAGGGTTCGCTGGGATCGTATTCCTCACAAACCTATCAAGTGCTTGCCGAGGCTCCGTGTACAGCTAGTCTAAAGCTCGATGTGCAGAGGTCTGGCTGGCGACCTGCATGTGACACTGCTCTGTACCATCATCAACGAATCGATAAACGTATAAATCTCGGCTAGATTGGATGAGCATGTTGCAAGGCCATATCAAACTTATTCCTCTACCTCACTGGCATTTTGGAGGTGATTAGTGAAGGAGAATTCGTCTTGTTTTGCTAGACTGGTAGCTGCTGTACGTGTCGTGTTCGTTTGATGTCTTGCCTAAATCTAATGTCTCGTTCCGATAGGCATCTACTGTGTCTTCTCGAACTAAGGAAAGAGGCGTCTTTATTCTAGGGCAAAGCCTACGAACATCAACGATATATCTCATCGCAAGAGAGGGAATTATGTCGTTTCATGGCCTTCGCCCATCCTCACAAAGCGCCGAATACGAGGTCTACATACTTTCCCGCACCCGTTGCACTGCTCTCCAGACCACGTTCACCCTTACAAAGCACTTGGATGAGCATGGATTAATTCCGTGGTGAGGGAAACCACAGCTTACCGCACCTGGGAGTGGTTTCCTCCTTCTCGACGGCTCCACGACATTGCAACCCACCCTCAGGAAAACTCGCTCGATTACGCTAACCCATCCCTCCATCCCCAACTTGTCAATCTCTCGCTCTGATGTTACTCTTCGCCTTCGCCATTCTCCATCCACGACGAAATCGTGCCTGTTTCTTCCGCGAAAGAGAGAGATTGCCGGTCATATTCCCTTCTGCACCGATCGGGCTGTGTTCACCACTATGAAACACTTTGAAGGGTGTTCAAAGTAGGGGGAACAGAGCGTATTACCACACTTGGGACTGCTTCCCTGTGATGTCGTCCTCAACGATTCGCCGATTACGCTTGTGCTTCCGTCCATCCCAACGCGTCACTCTCTTGCTGTTGTGCCCTGATGCCCTGATGCTGATGTTCTCGATCTCCACCCACTGCGGAATCGTACCTCAGTTCTCGTCGTTTCTTCCTTCAGAGACGTTTTCGTGGAAACGTCGTTCGGGCGTGGGACTAGAAGAGACGCCGTTTCTTGACCGAGTGTCTGTTGCGCTTGTAAACTGTAACACTTCCCGATACGACGAGTGTTCTGTGTAACAGCAGACAAGTTTGGCTTGTCCATGAGGGAGGAAGGACGGAGGCTAAGAAGGCAGTGCAGATCCTCGAGAAGGGCATCGATGGAAACCGGTTACGTTGTGAGCGTGGGTGGATATTTAGGAGTGTGGTCCCAGTGCGTGCGCTGGTATAGCCTTATCTTCTTCCGCCAAAGCCATTAGGCAAAACGCGATGTACCGCAGATGTCAATGAGCTCGAGTGGCTCGCTTGTCTGGGTACGAGTATTTTGTCAGTTCAACATGTTCGCATGCCATCGGTGTCGTAGACTACGTGTCTCCTTACTAGGAGAGGAAGCAATAAAAGACGTATATATTCCTACCTCGTTTAAGCAGACGTAAAGCGAATCCGGAGGGGGGGCAGATGGTGTAGTGGTTACCTCTGCTTGTTCGATTGTACCTTGTTCCACACAGAAAATATTTATTTTCGCACTCGCGAGTTCGAGCCCCCCACCCCCCAGAAAGTAACACTCTAGACACTTTCCGGGTTCTACCACTTCCGATATCGGAATCACGTGAAACGCAGCCTCCCTTTCCAAACATGATCAAGTCACGCACATTACCCCCTCTAAAATCACACGACAAATCTTATCTCTCCTTGCCATTCTAGGCATCGGTTCGAGGCCCTTCCAGTGATCTTTCGAATAAGACAGGGAAACGGAGTCGCGTGCCGCAAGGCTGCCGCCTGGTTGGGACCCAGGTGTAACAAAATGGAGTGGTGATCCAAGCACACCCCGGCCCGGCACATCGCCCCCGCATCAATTGATCACACTGTGTTGGTGATCTTGGCCGAGTAAGGCAGGTCTGGGAAAGAGAGACCGGAGAAGGACTGGGATTGATGGAGTTTGGTGGGAAGTAGGACTAGGCCATGAGAAGGGTCTGGTGAAGAAACGACGGTGACGGATAGATTGCGGCCATTTCTCGGCAGAGGTCAGGATTTCCCAAAGTGGGAAAAGGTGGCAGTGCCCGAGTCGCACCAAGTTATCGAGGGCGAGGGATAATTTCGTGCCATAACATAAGTGCACAGCTTGTTAAGCTGACTTAATCGATGACATCATACACACAGTAACACAAGTAGCTAAATTGGACCATACGCATGCATAACCAATATACTTAGGATTTAAAAAAAAAAAAAAAAAAAAAAAAAAAGCGAATCCGGAAGAACGCCGAGCATTCTCACGCCACCCTTCTTTCTCTTCATCGACCTTCATGGCACCCTAACTTTCACCAGCACTCGACGCGAATGCAAGGACCGTGAATTCGGATAGCTGGTCTCAGTAAATTATTGGACTCTTCGAGTGCATTCAATCTGATCCTGTCGACAAGCGATTCATTGTGCATCCAGACACGGCCGATAACAGCTACTGCGATTCTACGCCAAAATTGCCCGTCTTTATCTCAGCCACATCAGTATGGATTAGGAGTGTGACTATTAGTGTTGGAGTCGGGTGTGAGGACTCAGTGGCTTGACAGTATGGTTTTGGTCCAGTGCGTCAGCTTCATAACTCTTTCTGAATGTTATACTCATTCCTATCTAGATGTGGCGGAATTTGCTGCTATCCCTTGGGTCGACGCAAGAAAACCCATCGATATGTGCCCACTTCTGCACCGATTCTCTACAGATCCCTTCCCCATTCGCTGAAGTAGTATCGCTGTCTCCCGCCAAAGATAATCGATAAGGAGCAGCCAATGCCATCAAGCGCGTCCCGACAACGGCGTCACCAAGATCGACTTTGATTGGTGCATATCCTACGACAATTATCACGATCATTCCTTCTTTCAACCAATCCACCCGCACACTACTCCCATCTGCATCTTATTCCACTTCTTGACCTCAGCTTTTTCAACCTGCCAAGCGGCATCACACACACACTCGCTATCAGCAGCTCAAAACCTCAATATTCAATGCCTCACAATTCACGATAATCGACACCCATATACATCTTCTCTCCACGTTTACTTTGTATCGCTCATCGTACCCTGAAGGGGGGTATGAGACCGCGTTTGACTTTGTCAAGGGCCCGTATGCGGATAACGTGGTGAAGACAATAGTCGACGCGGAACCATGAAGGAGATCATGCCCAAGGATCATCGAGTACGTCCACCGTCACTGTATGCATTCTTCCTAAATCTACCGTACAGGTCCATACTCACTGCTTCACCGACACCGCCGCATCCGGCCACAGTTTCTTGGAGTACTTCACATCGGTGTGACAGGCGTCGTCTGCTATAGGCCAGGCCCTCTACTACGCAGCAAACCTCATTGCTGCCGAACAATGCCAGCCACCGATTGCAAGTAGATCCTGCTGGAGACCAACGCGTCGTCCATGGTTCCGGCAGACGTGTATGGCGCGTTAGAGCCCAAACAGTCGGGGCTTCCGTTTTCGCTGGATGTAGCAAGGGAAGGTGCCAGGACGGTGTATGGGGTGTAATGTAAGTAATTCTTGTCAAGTATAAATCTATGTCGGAAGCTAATTTATATAAATGAGCAGGACCAGATATGAGAACGAAAAGATATCATTAGATGCGATATAATGCATCTAGATTTCCAGCTCATGCAAACTTTTGCCTCTCGTCATAACAGATCACTCGGATCTCCCAAACCGGTGATAACCGCCTAAAGATTGGACGATATCGTGACCCGCCCGGCCTCGAACTGTAACTTGCTATGCAAAGCACTGGGCTCGCTCTACTTTTGCCCTGATGCTGCGCCCGGTTGGTCCAGCAATAGTCGTGATCCAAAGTCAGGTCGCCGTCACCAGTACTTAAGGATGATGAGGCACTTGTTTAGATCGTGGAAATTCTGTTTCCCTCTCCGCAAGGACTTGTTCACTAGGCCGGTGCATGAGATCCCCGCATTGAAGCGAGATAGCTACACTTCTCCGCTTCCGGTGCTGTTGTTGTCAGAGCCAGCGGAGTGTTTTCGGAAGAATACAGCACGGTGCAAGCCGCCGGTCGATAGGACCGATCAAGTTATCATATCGATCGCGACGGACAGACGACGAAATCCCATCTCACCCCGCTTAGTGGGGTAAATGGACATCCGCTCAATTACTATAGTCTTTCTTCCTACCCACCACCGAACGTCACTACACCATCGAATTGATGTCTATCTCTGTCGTTAGTTTGGGAGTCACGTTCAGGGCTCTCGAAAGCCCTCTCGGCCTGTGCTGTTATCCGCTGTATCCCCCGAGATATTGCTCACCACTCCCACCCACGCCATCCTCTACCGCATATGGCTCGACCAGTCATCTCGGGAAAGAGGCATGCCAACATTATGCTCTATGCCATATCAGAGCAACTTCTTACTGCACTGGTCGCGTCCGTGGAGACGGTGTATATTGAAGGCATGTCGATGTGGGAGCGTTTGTTCTTCTGACGAAAACGTGCAAGACGGGAGACGTACGCCTAACAAATCAGAACCCCAGCAAGCAAGCAGCTTATCTCGCGATGATTTGTTCTGCCTCCCGAAGACTTGATGGGGTGCTCTTGTTTCTGGGGTATCTCAGAGACGACTGAACGTCAGAAACAGGAGCAGGACGAAATGTATGGGCTGTTCATTTATTTCTTAGACTCTGCCTATATCATCGCGAGATCGGGTGTCACATCATACGCGCCTCACCCTCAACGGAACTTTTGCGCCCTCTTTGCCAACGACTTTCGGTCGAGGCAAAACACTCCCGGTATACTTGCCGATAGCTGTATCACTTCCACCAGGAAATTCGAATGCAAAGTTCCGTACAATAACAAAGAGCGCCGCCTAAAGAGTCCAATCCTCAGCAAAAACAAGCACATACCCTCCCTCAAGAATTTTACTCACCTTGAACTCGGTCAAAGCGAACGTCTTCCCGAGACATGTCTTGGGTCCATCTACGAACGTCAACAGGTGTCGATGACCCTGGATCTCCTTCGCTCGCGGTGTAAAGTCCTCCAGCCACCTCTCCGGTCTGAACTCCTTTGCATCAGGGCCCCAGAATTCCTCGGATATGTTCAGCGTTTGAATGGGAACGGTGAAGACCGTTCCTTTGGCCACTAAGAGACTGTTAACGGTCTCTCCGGATTTGGTCACTACTGGTGTAGTGAGAGGAAGAACGTCGTCTTCTGTTGCCTGCTAGGAAGTGAGAGATAATCGATACGCTAGAGGATAGGATGCGCACCACCCTTACGGCCTCTGATACGGGTGGGTGCAATCGTAGGGTTTCGTGTATGACTGCGTCAAGATACGGAAGACTCGAGTTGAGTTGCTCCCATGTCGGGTCGGTGTTGCCGAATTGCACCAGTTCGGCGCGGAGCTTGTTCTGGATGTCCGCGTTCTTGCACATTTCAATAAGGGCCCACTGCGAGATTATCAATTTTATTTAATGATCGGTCGCTGATAGCTCACATACCGTGAGACTGACTATACGAAAGCAATTCAGAGCAGAGTCTTGGAAAGAATTGAGACTTACTGCTTGTCATTTCATAGCCTGTAAAATGATTAGCTTTCAAAATAAGGGAGTAAATCTGCGACGCTCACCTGCTATCAACAACATGTTCTAAAGTTCCGAAATTGTAAGCACGAAAACAAAGTAAAAATTTCTGTACTATCTGTTGTAGGCAATCGTTAGCAAAGAATCAGTAGTGCGGGGTCGGTATCAGATACCTGTGCAATGATCTCTTCCCTAGACATGTGAACGTCTGCATCATGCATCTCTGATTTGACTGTATATAAACGCTATCAGCTTCCCACAGGAACCAGTATTGGTCATACTCACGAAGCAGACCCATTACAGATTTATCCTCCTCGTTCCCATGCTCCTTGGCCTTTGACAAGAGCTGGTTGGCCACACCAGAGAATACACGGTTCATATCAATTAAAGCCTCTTTCCTCTTCGAAGGCAACCGAAGAACAGCAGGGAAGACCATACCCGTGATGATCGTGAAAGCAAAGAAGGCGGCGCCACTGCTCAGGTCAAGGCCATCGAAAATTTGCGGTTTCCCGTCGATGGCGCCAAAGTCATGAGAAAAACCTGCTCTACCAATGCTGTCCATCCTAGGTGGGACAAGTGGATTGGCTGCTGAGTGTTATGTAGTGGAATGATAGCCTCGCAAGATGCGGTTCATCCTAGGAGATGGCTATCAGCTAGCAATCATTATCGCCGGACTTCACAGACCAGTTCTGCACATCGATCGTGGAAGTCCCGTTGCTTGCTTCGAGAATAGCATCCCAAGCAGAAGACGCAAACCGCTGCACTGAGAGTCCCTCACGATGACCGGTAACCACAGCACACACATCAGGAAAAACCCTTTTGCTACATATCTGCCACTCAGATATATGTAGCTTATGTATTGCCAGTAGTGATGGTAGAGGGTGCACAGCACTAGGTAGCGGTAGGTAGTATTCTGTATATACTGCCAGTAGCTATGTACACAATCTGTATACTTCAGTGAAACCTACTGAATGCTACAACATTGGTCAACATTATCTCTTTTTTTGGGTCTTCGATAGTGGCTGATGGTACAAGTTGAGTGTCAGCTAAAAGAGGATATTGAGTCTGACTGAAATATGGACTTGAATAAGGATAGGAAAGTAATGCAAAGACAAAATCAGCACATCGGAAGGTAATTAGAACGATATATGCCTTGTGAAGTATGGACAGCTACAATGGCAGTGCCAAGGACGAGTAGCTGGGGGGGAGTTCTAATAAGTTCATTTGAAACTCTGACACAGAGTCCGTCCATCACATGCATAATCAACCAAGATCACGCCATCGGATGTTAGCCACTAACTCCAATCGACTTAGATCGTGCTAGGATCACCACTCGCACTTCGGTGGTAGACGCTCTAGCAAGTCAAAGGCGATCTGTGAAGTCGATGGGACAGATAGTCATGAAGAACGGAGTTCGATGTTAGGTAGATTAAACCTTAGCCGAAGCTGGGGTCTAATCCAGCTGAGGCTCTACTTAAATACATGTTGATATGCTAATAATAGTACTGTGGGAAATGGTCCATTGTGATCACATATGAGTAATCAAGCTGAGTCAAATGAAGAAAAACGAATAAACCGTAACATTACCCCCTCCCTAAGACTCGTTCGTCCCGAATGAGACACCAAGTCTTTGCGTCCCCTTCCTTCCACATGAGCAAGTATGAGGGTCTCCCTTCTGCTTTAAAACAGCTCGATTTGGGCCTCCGCTACACCCCATCCATGTTCGGCTTCTGACCCGCCTCTTACCTGGATGTAGGTTCCTGTAGAAATCCTACACCACCTTGTGCCGGTTAGGCCTCAACTGTCTGTCAGGTCCCCCTTGACCCTAAGGGTTCATTGCTCGTTTTGAGCGGCGGTAATCCCCTTCTACGCCGTAAAAATGATGTTCTATTAGTGGTACTCCTCAGAGGAGGAGTCCCACTCATCCGTGTCGGAAGAATGTCGCGATTCGGAATAAAAGGATGGTATATCGTCGTCATCGTCCTCGTCTTTTTCATCTGCATTCCAATTTTCGTGAATTCATTGAAGATTTTGGAGGTTAACTTCTTCTTCTGCGTCATCTTCTTTGTCCACGATAGGTACGCCGTCCGCTTCATCAGTGGTGACCTTTGGCCACTTCTCTTCAATGAACCCCTTCTCCAGTTCGGGGTTAAACGCTGGGTGCCAGTTGATAGGGATGTCTTCGACTATCCTATCGATTTCTTCCGAATGAGCTATTGCCGAGCATTGAGAAGATGGGACGGTAATTATGTCAGTAATGCAGGAAGTATCTGGTTCATGATAGATCAGCGACCTATGTGGTATCTTGTCGTCGATCCCCACCATCATTCCCTTGTCATTGACTTTCCAATGGATCTTCTGAATGCGAGCTTCATAGTCGTTTACGAGTGCTTCCGCGTTGGCCATATTGGCGCGTTTCACCCACGAGTTTTCTTCCATCGGGTACCCCTTCCATTTCACCAAGTACTCGGTTATTGTGTGGCGGTTTCGCCCTCGTCCCATAACTTTGTCTCGTTCTCCCACTATTTCTTCAATTTCATATTCTTCCTCATCGTTGATTAACTCCGGAGGTGGCCTCTCGGCATGTGGTTGATTGGGGAATTCAGGAGCATGGTATGGCGTTAAGAGGGACTTGTTGAAGCGATTGTGAATTTTCCAGCCAACTGGGAGTTTGAGTTCGTAGGCGGAGGCCCCCTTTTTGGCTAAAATGGTGAAGGGTCCCACCCGACAGTCTCCGAGTTTCTTGGTGGGGCGAGGAAGGTTCAGGTTGGTTGAATCCAACCATACCTTATCGCCAACTTGATATTCCACGGCCTTGTCCTTATGCTTGTCATAAGCCTTTTTCATGGATTCGGCCGCCCGTTCCAAAGACTCTTTCACTTTTTCCTGTACTTCTTGAATCCCTTGAACCAATTTTGAGGCGGCTGGAACAATGTCGGGGCATTGGGCCGTCTTAATGACCTGCCCATCCCTTCCGAAGACGACTTTATAGGGGGAGAAACCCGTCGCTGAGTGTTGTCGGTTATTATGGGTGAAGGCGGCCAATGCTAGCCATTCACTCCAATCGTCTTGGCGATAGTTCACGAACATCTTGAGGTATTTCTCGATCTCCTGGTTCACTCGCTCCGTCTGGCCATCTGTTTGAGGATGGTAGGCCGTGGAGGGGTTCCCCTCGACTTGGATGAGGGCGTAAAATTCTCGCATGAATTTGGATACGAATATGGTTCCTCGGTCTGAAATGACCTTCTCCGGCATTACCCCATACGGCACATAGACGTGATCTCGAAGAATTTTAGCAAACCCAAGAGACGTAAGCTCTTCGGTACAGGCTATTGGTATGATCGTCTTCGAAAAGCGGTCGACGATCACCAGGATGGAGTCGAATCCTTTTGAGTCGGGGAGTTTGGTGATCATGTCGACAGAAATGTGGGTCCAAGGCCGATTGGGCACCTCATTCAGATGAAGAGGTGCTCTCTTGGGTCGATGGTCAGCCTTGGTTCGCTGGCATACTTCGCATCCTTTAACATAGACTTCCACCTCTCTGCGCATTCGGGGCCACCAGTAGTCTCGTAGGATAAGCTCTTTGGTTTTTTCTATGCCCAGATGGCCCGCGGTTACATGGTCATGCCGCTGTGCTATTATCTCCCCCCGTAGTTTGCGGTCTACGGGCACATAAATGCGCCCGTCATACCAAAGTAGTCCTTGGTCACGAGAGATCTCCTTTTCATGGTTAAGGGAGTCGGAAATACCACGATCCCACTTGCGAGGGTCATGGGTAGCTAGCTTGATCTTTTCGTGGAGTCCCTCCTGTGTAGGCATAGTTAGGGCCCGGAAGTGTTCGGCCTTGAGGACAACTATGTCTTTGTTGTCTCCTTTTCCCTGATCATGATCTGCTCTCCTTGACAGCAAATCCGCTTTGCGGTTCTGGGCTCCCGGTTTATGGTGCAGGGTGAACTGGTACTCTGCTAATTCCGTTACCCATCGGGCTTGTCTTTGGTTCAATTTTTGGGGTTTATGGAAGTATTGGAGATTGGAATGGTCTGTCCAGATCTCGAAATCTTCGCAGGCCCCCATGAGATATTGGCGCCACTCTTCCAAAGCGATCATGATGGCTAGAAGTTCCTTGTCATAGATCTTGTAGTTGCGTTCAGTGGTGGCCAGGGCTTTGGAAAGAAAGGCTACTGGCCTCCACTTGGCATCCTGCCATTGAGATAATATGGCCCCAATCGCTCCTTCGCTAGAATCCGCCTCTACTCGGAATTTCCCCTTGTCGAGCGGGATGGCTAGGACCACATCCTCGCAGAACAATTCCTTTAACTTCTCGAACGCTTTCTGTTGGGCCTCCCCCCACTTCCACTCGACTTTTCCTGTGAGAGTGGTGAGGGGTTTAACATGCTTACTATAGTCTCGAATAAAGCGACAGTAGAAGTTACAAAAACCCAAGAACGATTGTAGTTCCTGTTTCTTGGATGGGACTGGCCAGTCCAATAGGCCCGCAATTTTCATGGGATCCATGCGGATCTTTCCTTCACTGATGAGTACGCCCAAGTACTCCGTCTCCTCAACCTCAAATTCGCACTTTTCGGCTTTCAGGAATAGTTTATTGTCGCGAAGTATCTGCAGCACCTTCCGAACGATCTGACGATGTTTGGCCCTCGTCTCAGATGCAATGAGTATATCATCCAGGTATACTGATACTTCCCCTGCTGTGATGAGATCTTTGAAGATGTCATTCATCATCCACTGAAAAGTGGCAGGGGAGTTCGTAAGTCCAAAGAACATTACAAGGGGTTTGTAGAGACCGCGATTGGTTCGAAAGGCGGCCTTCCACTCATCCCCTTGTTTGATCCGGACATTATTATACCCCCACCACACATCCAACTTCGTAAAGTATTTGGCTTTCTTCAGCTGATCCATTAGTTCCCCAATGAGGGGTAACGGGTACCGATTCTTGATGGTCATTTCGTTGAGTTTCCGATAATCCTGTACCGGGCGGAGTTTCCCATCTTTCTTCTTGACGAAGAAAAATGGCGATGCCATGGGGGATTTCGATGTTTGGATGCGACCCGTGGAAAGATTTTCGTCAAGGAACTTGTCCAACTCCTCCTGCTCTGTGGGATTAAGAGGGTAGACCTTACAGTCCAAGTTGGCATTAGCGTTGGGGATTAGTTCAATAGCATGATCCCAGGGTTTACGCGGGGGTAGCTTGTCAAAGTTTTCCTTTGCGAAGATGTCCTGGAACTCTCGATATTCTTCAGGTACTATTTCCTCGAAGGATTTGGCCGTCTTTTTGGCATTGGCCTGGGCGGCTAACTCATTGGCTTTGGTGCCCATGGCTCGAACGTGAAAGGCCTCCTCAAAGTCTATTACTAGGATGGTGTCCCCTTCCTCATACTCTTCCCAGCGCGAGGATGGGTCCGTATCGGGTAGAGGAAAGGGGACTTTACGGCAGGTACAGCGAGCAAGGGTAACAGCCCCCATGTCCCAATCGATCAATGGGTTATGTCTCTGCAACCAGTCATGGCCCAGGAATAAGGGGGTAGTGCCTAAGTCGACCACGGCTAGTTCGATCCTTTCCACGTGGTCTCCAATTCGTAAACATACCTCGGCGTACTCGGTGATGTCTCCTCCTTTAT